GTGTGCTGATGATGTCTCTACCCCCGTTGCTGGTTTCCCTGCTGCAATCTGAAACAATGTTGGACTGAATGTCCCGGTTTGGTGCAATGCAAGCAAACTCCTCTCTTCACCCTGTTCTTCCACTCACTTTCACTAATACGGAGATCTACCCATGGTTTTGTGGCAGGATCTTCCGGTTTTGGTGGAATCTTTGCTCCCTTGGGAAGAAGGATAGTGTTAGTGTTATTCTTCATCGTGGTCCTCGGTCCCTTACTCTTAAAGGCAGTCTTCTTAAAGGCATTCATGGATTCATCGTCATTCACATACTCAGACTCATGGGCTGACAAAGCGCAAGATGCCCCGCAGTCTTGCTCTTGATCGTCATCAAGAGAAGATTCTTCTACGAGGGTCTCCTCGTCAGCCTCAAGCAGATCATGTGCTGCAAAACGTTTGCTGCCTGGAAACCATTTGCCGCCAGTGGCCTTTTTGCCACTTGATCCACCCGGGAGGTCCTGTGCCTCCAGCTTGACTAAGTCCCGCATGAGGGTAAGCCAATCTGTATATCCGTTGAGCCCGAGCCCTAGGCGATCTTTCAAAGTAGAGGGGACCGTACCTTTTATCACATCCAAGCAAGACTGCGCAGTCATCTCCAGATCCAGAGTAGCAAAGAGTTTACTGACGTACTGCTGCAGACTGTGCATGGTGCCGGTCCACTTGCTGAGCTTGAGCTTGTCAAGCTTAAGTCTTGCTTTAGCTGCAGCATGTGGATCAGCATATTGTTTGATCAAGAGATCCTCAAGTGTGGTAGTAGGCGTAGCCTTCAGCCACTTGTTCAGGTCTATTCTCTTATAGCCTGATTGGATAGCCTGGGTTTCTAGGAAACCCCGCACGACGGGCTCCACATTGGTCCCCAGGATAGACGACTGAGTGGACAGGGGTGTCCCCAATACATCAAAGTAGGACCGCATGGAGCTGATCCAAGACTCGACGTCGTCCTTTCCGTCATACTTGGACGGAATCTGCGCCGCCTTCCTGTCGATGTAAGCAAAGCTGCCGCCTGGCCCAGCCATTGCTGGGTCCGGGCCCGAGGCTGCAACAGTTCCAGAAGTCCCTGCACCACCACTTGCCGCTGCAGCAACAACAGCAGCAGCAGCAGCGGGGTCAGGACTTGCTGCAGATCCGCTTTGGCTGTTAACCACACTCAAAGAAGAAGAAGAAGTAGAAGGAGAAGAAGTAGATGTAGTCAGAGGGGCAAAACTGGACTGACACGTAGCATTGGAGGCAGGATAGGTGAGTGAAGAGACGATTTGAGCCTACTGCGAACTAGCAAACTGTTGCAGCTGATCGCGGTGCTGCTGCGCCATCTTGGCCATGTCTTCGCGCAACTCCTTGAGCTGCTTAAACACCTGTGCGAGCTGGCCAGTATGGTCCCAGCAACCCGGACCCCTGCTAAGGCTCTGAGGAGGGGAACTATGTTCTCTTCTACCTCCTCATCAGTCAGAGCGGACACGGTGCTAAGGACGGCCTCGTGAGCCTGCACCTTATCCCTTCTCTCTCTCTCTTTCTCTTCCTCCTCCCTCTTCAAGGTTTTCTCGTAGAAGAACTAATACTGCGGTTTTTCTGCCTCAGGGGCAGCGTCCATCTGCAGTTTCCAATCTGCTGCAGATGCCATGATGGAGGATGAGGGTGTCAGTAAGACTCTCAAGAGGGGTCCGTACTTCCTCTCAGCTTTGTGACGAACGCTCCTCTTCCCTCTCCTCACTCCCTCAAGAGCAACACTCAATAACTTCTCTCTTCTCTCTCTCTCTCGTTTGTGATCGTGTAAACGCAGGCATTAAAGAACCCAATGAAAGAAACAACTTGAAATCATTCAGAAGAGAAGGTAGAACTCCTAGCCGGAGCGGCAATTCATTTGGACTGGAGAGCAGTCAAAACAACAAAAAAGAAAAGATCAGAGAGATCCGATCCAGCCACACAGTCTGGACTGACTACGTATGGGGTCCTCCCAAGCCTAGCCAGCCTCAGCTCCGTGAAAACAGAGCAAATCATATTCAAGATGTACAGCGAAATGCAAGAGAGAATTGAGTGGTGTATAAGGTGCGAGTCAGGCGGTGGATTGCGTGGTAAAGTCTGATAAAACGTCCAAGCGGAGATCCCCTCCGCAGCGAGTGTCCTGGTCCGAAAGCATAAAGTCCGTATCCCAATCAGATAGAGCAAGGTAACTGACGTCAACAGATTTGGCTTGAGGGGCCCTTCTTGTTTGGGCCCGGTCCCACTGAGTCCCAAATGGTCCCAGTGGAGTCAGAACCGGGTCCCAACCAACAAGAGTTCCACAGAGACCTACTTTGTCCCTACTGAATTGAAAAAACGAAATTTTGCCCCAGAAAAAACCTGTAGACTACCGCCGTTCAGAATGAAATAAACAAAGCACTGTAGAGAGATATCGCATAGCAAACAAGATACTCCATTCATTCACTCATCAG